CCCGGCCCCGGCCTCGCGCGCTGGGCCCGCCGCCCATTCATTCGCCCCGCGGCGGCCCCTCGGGGCCCGTCCTTGCTTTGTGTCGCCTCGGTCCCGGCCCCGCTGCACGCGCACACGGCCGGCCTCGCACGCACGCGCGCGCGCTCGTTCCCGGGGAGGACTCGCGGGGCCGCGCCGCGGGGCCCGGGGGCGATGGCGCCGAAGGCACGGGCGGCCCGGCCTAGGAGGCGGCCTGGGGCGCGGCGCCGGAGCCGCCCCGGAGGTGCCGGGGCGCCCTCCCTCGGGGAGCGCGGCGGGCGTGCGGCCCACCTCCTGGACGCGGGCAGGCTGTGCGGGCCGCCGGGCGCGCCGGTGCGGGCTCGCGCGGCTGGTGGCGGTGCCGGGGGCTCGGGACGTGGGCGCCAGGGCCCCGATGCCCGCTTCCGGGCCATGCGCGAATGCCGTTGTCGCTGCGGGAGTCCCGCTCGTCCCTTGCCTCCGGGTGCACGTTCAGGCTCAAACGCAGCGGTGTTACTTCCCACGAAGCGACTTTGCCATCTCGATTGCATATTTCTGGGAGAATTTGGAGGTTAAACAGGGAGAGCGTGGCTCAGAGTAGTTACTCCTGGTTAACACATCCAACTCCTCACTTGTGCTTTACCCAGCAGGCTGGAAAGGTGCATTCACAAATCCATGCTTATGTCTGATTAATCTGAAATGATTATGACACTGATCGAGCCTGCCTTTGTTTGTTTGTTTGTTTGTTTGTTTGAGAGCTGCCCCATAGCATCTTGCTTTCTGGGTGGCCAGTGTAATAATGAATGTCTCCCAATTCTCCCCCATTGATTTAAAATGCCACTCTGGCCTGAAATGGAGGGAGGGCCCTGCTTTTATTTGTATTTTTGTCACATTTACATCCTATCTTCCTTCCAGGAAGAGTTGTGATTTTGTTTTGTGGTGTTAATTGTGTGTGAGATACCAATACCTCTGTACTTTAAACAAGGAATGGGAGAAAAAAAATCTTATGCAGTGTTGGTCATTTGAGCAGTCAAATATTTTCTAAACCTTTGAAAACAACAATTCGTTCATTTATTTCATTTTTGTACTGCCCAATAGCCAACTTGCTTTGGGATTATCAAGACTTTTGATACCTACAGTAAACACAAATGTGGTTTTATTGTTACAGTTTATTTCACCTCTCTTATCACCCCATAGTCAAAGCTCTCTGGCAGTTCACAATTTATAAGAAGCACAATACCCTGCAATTTTATAGAAATAGTGTAACATTTCCAATATGTAAGATTTAAAGCAATTGAAGCTGCTGAAGCAGGTTTTCCAGTACTGTGAGACCAATGTCAGGTGCCACACACATCCTCTAAATACTCTCCAGCACCTTGGAAGAAAGGGCAGCTGGCACCTGGCCCAAGAAGGCTTCCCTCTTTGATGCTGCCCCCAGGCCTCCTCTGCCCTTGTGGGAGAGCCTCAGATGTCGATTGCAATGTCTCGGCTAATCGCGTTAAGGGAGATGCTTCCACAGGCACTGTGGACCAAAGAGCACCTTGAATTGGGCTTGGAAGCCACAGGCAGCCCATGCCAGTGGGCCGGGAGCGGGCCTCTTGTCCCATTTATTGCCCTGGCTGCCCCCTTTTGCCCAAGCTGCAGTCTTCAAGGGCTGCCCTGCATCGAGTGAATTGCAGGAATTGTTTTTTTAAAAATTGGAATGAATCGTGTTATGATACGGTACTCTGTCCATCCCCCCAGGGGGTCTGGGTAGGACACATGCAGGCACCCTGTGAGGTCGCCTTGGCTGTGTGCATCGGTGTGGCTGGTGCAGTGTTGCCTGAGAAGTTTCAGGGACAGCTGAGGATGTGGACCTCCTTGAGCCTGGCCCAGCCCGTCCTGGCCCAGCACCTTCCAGGCCTGTTGGAAAGCAGCTCCTGTCACCCTCAGCCAGCATACCATGGTCCAACACACCTGAGGGGCACCTGGCTGAGGAAGTGTGTGCTAGGCATGGCCACCACTGCTAATGGCTGCTTAGGTGCCTGTGGATGAATCCCGGAGTTGAGCAGGGGCTGCATTGGTCCCCAGCTGCTTAGGATTGTGGGCAAACAGCCCTCCCGCTTGCCCTTGCCAGCAAACGAGAGCACAGTGAAATGCAAAGGTAGCCACTATCCACCTAACATTTATATGTGTATTCCACCTTTTTCCTTTCAGGTAATTTAAGGCAGCTCCTCTTTTGGCTTTATCTACAGAATGACATTCTCAGAGTATTTGCCCATGGCCGGGCAGGTGCTCGTTTGGCTGGACGCGTTGCAGAGCTAGGCATGGGCGGCACGTTTGCGCCTGCAGCACATTGTGCTGGTTTATGCCAGGAGATCTGCTTAAAGATGTTGAAAAATAGAGGACAGTGAGAGTTCTCTACTTAGCTGTAAGCTGCCTTAGGCTCCTTGGAGGAAGAAAGATGGGTTTGGCTGGAGAAGTAAAAATGGGGTCCCCCCTCCACTTCTTAGGCCAGAGCAGTAGAGGAGAAGGATGAGCTCAATTTGTGTGATCACAGCTTTGGAGAAATTGGACTAGGACAGGCAGGTTGTGCTGAATTTGCTTTTCCAGTCTGTTGTGTAGAGATTTGGTGTACCAAAAAAAGAAAGGGTAAGTGAGAACGACTGGAATGAGAGGCTGGTGGTGTCATGAAGCACTTGGCCGGACCACAACTGGGTGGGTTTTGGCTGTCCTTCATTTACTGTTTGTGTAAATTACTAACATAATGTGTGTTAACTGCATTCTGGGTAACAGTTGGGAAGAGTGCTAAGAATATTGAACTTCCCCTTTAAAAAATGGATGCTTCTCCTCAACTCATTGCATCATTAGAACTGGGGAAAGGTTAGAGTGAAAGTGCCAATACAGTATTGGGAATATGTGAGCTTGTATGTTGGCATAATTGGACTTCTGTGTTTTATCAGTATGTTTCTAACATACTAATTAATTCTCTGTGTTGTTAGTCACTCCAGTCAAGATGGATAAATAACAGTAACATTAAAAACTGGAATATCCCATGAGCCTTGTTGGGTGAAGGAGTTCCTTCTGTTGCCACTGGTCTCAGGAAGTTCAGGGGACTGAGAAGGGAGAATCTAGTGTAGAGATTTGCAAGATCTGCTTTTCTCACTCCAGACCTAAGGGAGAATGTTGGTAATAAGACTGAACTTGTAGAGCTCTGCAGGTGGTTTAGATCACAACTTCCAGGATCCCAGTCTGTTGCCCACTGGTCATGCTGACTGGCAGAGATGGGGGCCTGAAGTTCAAAAAACCTACAGAACACCAGGTTAGGGAAGGCCGTGGTCGAGCAGTCTCCTAATTTTGAACAGCCCCATCAGTTCTA